AAATAAGTCTTACATTTTAGAAAAAAGGTCGGGCGGTTGTTTTTTTTTTTTTTTTTTTTTCCCTTTATGAAAAAGTAATTTTATTTAATAAAATAAAATATTTCTATTTTTTTTAATGTAATTGTCTAAACTGCTTTTCTTTACAAAAAAAAACAGTTTTTTTTTGCCTTTTTATTTTAAAAAAACTACTTTTATTTACATTTTAAAAAATTAGTTCTTTAAGAAGTATTTTTTAGAAGTACTTTTTTAATCTTAAACAAACTGACTTATTATATACTCCCTCTATTTTTCATTATAAATTATTTTATTTATATTAAAAAAATTAGTTATATACATTAGATTTTACTAATTTCATAATATTCATCTTAAATTATTTTTATAATAAATGCCAATATTAAATAAAAGATATTTTATAAAAAGTATTATTAAATTAGGTAAAGTAGTTAAAATTTGCTTATATTTAAGAAGAAAAAAGTTATGTGTGTGTTTTTTTTTCTTCTTACAATAGAAATTAGAGGAAGTATTATTTTAATATGCTAATTTAATTTTATTTAAAAATATTACAAAATGTATGAATTAATTGATACAAAGTTGTTCTAATTATTGAATTTGAGTTTTTATTTTTTTTAGCAAAATTTGAGTTTTGAATACGTATAAAAAAAAAATCAAAGTGTAGGATAATTAATGCACATGAAAAGAAATAATTAAAGTGATAAAAAAAAACTAGACTACGGGATGTTTGTGCAATATCATGAATGTGATATTGTGACCCCCTCTTCTCTCTAGTCCCTACCCACTCCATAAGGAGAGATATTTTCCTCACTCCACACAACATGTAATAAAGAAACAATGGTACCAGAATTTGAATTCATGTTCCATGATTAAAATTAGAGAATTTGAAAGGAAAAAAAAAAAAAAAAGGGGTTGAGTTGGGTGGTACAGATCTAAATGTGATTGAAATCCAGCACATATCATTAAAACCTGAGGTTTAAGGGACCCATGTTGTAATTGAGGAAAAGAGTACTAATATGAATGTAGATGTCTCATGCAGTGAGGTTTGTTCTATAAACACACATTTGGATTGACTACACGCAATATACGGACGTGGATAAAGATACTGAGAACTTTACATGAGTGTGTGAAACGACGTTAGATAAACGCCAAAAGTACAGTAACCAGCAACAACGTAGAACTTGGTCCACAATCTCTGTATTCTGCACCACTCTTCCACACGTTCGCCTAATCACATCATGCCACGTGCCACCCCGGGACCCTTGCCCTCTGCCAACTACAACAACTACCGTCACTGTACAATATTATTATTGTTTTCCTTTTATTTTTCTCAGAATCATCATAAGCATGAAAATTTTGACTTTTATTTATTTATTTGGTTTTCATTTTTTGCTTTCTGTTTTTCTGGGGTAGCTTATTTATTGATTTCATTATGATGATGATGGGGGCAAAAAAAGTGAGAGTCTTTCTTGTAACTTCAACAAACAGCCTCAGCGGGTCGCTTCAAGCTTTCTCCCTTTGTTTATTCATTTGTTTATTTTCCCTTTTTTCTTTTTCTATTTGGTTTCAGTGCGTGTGTGTGTTTCTCTTATCATTGTGTCTACATGACAGAACCTTGTGGGGTGGTGGTGGTGGTGAGGGATCTGAGGCAAAGGTGTTGATGATATGGGAGCGTGTGTTTCAACTCCACGAGGGTGTGTGGGAGGGGGGTTGAGCTCTTCCAAGAGGAAAACCAGAAAGAGGAGGAGAGAGGGACTCAGGAGAAGGGTTGCTTCTCGGTTGCGTAAAGAATCATTGGAGAAGGTTGATGAGGCAGCAGGCTTGCCTGATTGTTCCTTTGCCAACCCCACTTTCCAAGGTTGATGATGTTTTGTTGCATCTTTTTTATCTGTTTCTTTTGCATTTCTTTGAAATGGTTTTGGAGTGGAGGGTTGTATTGTGAATGAGAGAGCTGAGAGATGTTTGGTTTTGTTTTGTTTTGGAGTGCAATTTGTTGTTGGAATCCTTTTAACGGGTCTTTTTTGGTGTTGAAAGTTTGTCAATCTTTTTTGGTGTAGTTGGAGACTTGGAGTTTTAGTCTCTGGGAAATGTTGGTGGTGTAGTTGGTATCGTTGCGTGTAAAGGATTGGTTATGTATACTCTTCGGAAATCTGAAGTTAAGCTAAAGTGAAGCCAAAAAATAGTTTAGGAGGATGGAACGGAGTAGAAGTTAACAATTGGTGCAAATTATTGTCATTTGCTACCGAAAGCATTGTCAATATTTTTGTGTTTGTGATAAGTTTGTAGGCTTAGCTAAACTAATTTTGTTTTCTATAAAAGGAGGTGTTAAAATTCAACTCTTGGAGTAGGATGAACGTAACAAGACTTTGGGTGGTAAAGTGGTCTTGAAATTTGGGGTAATAGTAATAGTGATATGATGTTTATGCGTGAGTGGTTGAGCACAATTGTAGTTGGTGAGTTCACTGAGTTGTGCATTTATGATATGCCTCTACCCATTTCAGCTTTGCTTTGAGGCTTGATCAATGATGACTTGAAAGTTGAAACTAGCATTTGTTGCTGGAATTAGGTCCTTATTATCACAGACTTGAAAAGAGGGGTTGCAGAATTGGTACTTATAGTTATGATTGCATGAGTTTTACTATTTGAAGCAAATTAAATTTAGATTTTGAAATGGGAACTGAAAGTACATGTTAATTTCTAACATTACGGATTTCATTTCAGATCAAGTCATCTTTATTGAAAAATAATTCACGTAACATTTCATTTCAGACTAAGTGCACAAAACCTATTTTCTATAATCCTAGTTAGCTTTTGTATGGTTTTTATTATTGCTAATTGGAATTTTAATTTGTGGCAACAGGCAGTATTGAAGAGGCGTGGTTTGATTCGGTTGCAGTATTTGATTCTGACTGTGATGATGATTACCAGAGTGTTCCCGATGGTATGATTTTTGATATTTTCAAATTTAGATATATTTTACTTCCTACTTCTTTGATGTATTAGATTTATATTTACCCTTAAAAACTATTATTAAACAAATTGACATATGCAGATGTTGTATCTCTAAGTGGGATTGAAGGTGGATCTGTATCAAGTTTTCCATCTTCAAGAGATGCCAACCATGGAGTTTCAACAGATCAGGTTCAGAAACAGAAGGAGTTATCGGCAGGATATTCTGCTAATATCTCTGAGGTGGCGAGAAGTTCAGATGTTCAATATTTTGGTGTAGAGGTCATTGATTCTCAACGTGAGCCTGTGTTCCTTGATGAAATTTCTTCAGTTGATGCGAACTCCAACAAGGATGATGGACTTTTGGATAATTGTGGGATTCTTCCAAACAATTGTTTGCCATGTCTTGCATCTACCATTCCTTCTCTTGAAAAGAGAAGATCATCAAGTTCTAGTCCTCCTCCTAATGCTAGGAAGAAGACTCCTACGAAACTTGCCTTTAAATGGAAAGAAGGACATGGGAATGCTACTCTATGTGAGTTGAAATTCTTGAAACAACATTCTTGTGACTCTGGTTTTATTTTATCTTAACTTATTATAATTCACGTTAAAAGTTTCGCCTAGTAGCTGGATGGTAAAACTGTATTTTTTTTTTTTCGTTTAGCTTGCGGAGTTTTTTATCAATTACATTGTTAAAAGATGATTTAGAAAATTGCAGTTTTTCCAGGAGAATTTCTCTTGTGCTGCAGTAATGAGAAAATATAATTGTTGTAATTCTAATTTCTGTTCCTTTTTCTGCTTTCAGTTTCCTCAAAGTCATTTCTACAAAGACCAATTGCAGGTTCTCAAGTACCTTTTTGTCCAATTGAGAAGAAAATGCTTGATTGTTGGTCACAAATTGATGCTAGCACTTTCAAAGTTCGAGGAGTAAATTATTTCAAGTATGACTAAGATTTGTCTGTGATTTGTTTGAAAGTGCATGTGCAAATAAATGCATAAATTGTTTAAATTAAAGTCAAAATGAGATGTTTAACATACATATCCGCAGACAATAATTTTTGACTTGGCTGTTGTTCTTTATGGCAGGGACAAGAAGAAGGACTTTGCTCCTAACTATTCTGCATATTACCCATTTGGTGTAGATGTTTTCTTGTCTCCACGGAAAGTTGATCATATAGCTCGGTTTGTGGAACTTCCTGTTATTAGTTCGTCCGGGAAATTTCCTCCCATACTAGTTGTAAATGTTCAGGTACTCCTACTTTGCTAAATTATAGTTATACTTTATAGTATTGTTGCTGTTAATCGTTGTATTTCCAACACGGATTCCTTGGTCCTTTCTAATCCGTAGTTATCTTTTTGTTTTTTTGCTGAGAATGGTACATTGCCAACAGAACAATTTATAAGCTTGTTGCTACATATTCTTATACTCTTTGTTGTGTGGATTTCAGGTTCCACTCTACCCTGCCACACTTTTTCAAGGTGAAACTGATGGAGAAGGAATGAGCATTGTTTTGTACTTTAAACTTTCGGAAAGTTACTCCAAGGAACTTCCACTGACTTTACAAGAAAGCATCAGAGTAAGATGGAGCCTTCATGTGTCAATTTAGTGTTAAATATTCCTAATAGTCCGATACATTTTGCTAAAACTGTTGTTATCTCTATTTTTTGTTGATTACTTAAGATTAGTTGTTTCATTGTCCGCAAAATAAAAAATTGCCAAGTAATTGATATATGTCATAACCATATAGTCCATGATAGTACCTTTAGTTTTATGGTCTCCTATTGAATTACCATATTGTTTGTTAATTTAAGGAAAGCTCTATCGCTTCTTGTTACTTATCTCCTATGTGTAGCTGATGAAATAACATTTTTCTTCAGAGATTAATGGACGATGAAGTTGAAAAGGTAAAGGGTTTTCCTGTAGATACAATTGCACCCTTCCGGGAAAGGTTGAAAATATTGGGCCGTGTTGCCAACCTCGAAGATCTTCACTTGAGTGCAGCAGAAAGGAAGCTTATGCAGGCTTACAATGAGAAACCTGTTCTTTCACGTCCCCAACACGAGTTTTACACGGTTGGTCTCATCAATTCTTTAATGATCTCGAAGAATGAGAAAACCAAACTGTTTTTACATGCGTTACTATCAGTAACTGCTGCTACAGTACATACATTTCCATTTACTCACCCCATTCTTTCATTTGTTACCATCTTGAAGCTGAATATGACAGTATCTTTGTATTATATTTATGAGCCTGCATCTAAGGTAATTGGATGTCCCCATTGATGTTACATGTCTATTTTGTTTCTCAGTGAAATCTGAGCGTGAAGTTCTATCTATCTATCTACACATGCATACGTGTTTTACTTCAATGATATAAATGGTCCTGTCTCTGTGTGTTCACATTCATGTCTTTCAGTGATTAGAGATGGCAGTTAGTGCCAACATGATAAGTCTTGAATGTTATCTGGCAGTTAATTTGAATGGACAATCAAACCCAAAAAAAACAAAATGTATATCATGAAATTTGGACTTTGAAAAAGTGAAAGGTAATAAAGTTGTTCAAGTTTTCCTGTGGGCTCCTTCACCTTGTTGAATGCATAGTACTCTTTGGTTGCATCTTTATGGATTGCTTGTGTTACTTTTATATCTTGGCCCGCAATTCAGTGGTGTCATTTCACTATAAAAGACAAGGTTCCTCCACATGCAGCTAAGCACTATGATTTATTTATTGTTATTTTTTTACAGGGAGAAAATTACTTTGAGATTGACTTGGATATGCATAGATTCAGCTATATCTCCAGGAAAGGGTTTGAAGCTTTTCTTGATAGGTTAAAGATTTGCACTCTAGATGTTGGCCTCACAATTCAGGTAAGTAGTTTCTCTTGTGCCAAAAATAATTGCATTTTCTCTCATGCATGCTCTAGTCCTATTGATTATTATATAATATTTTTTGCCTTGTGTAACAGGGGAACAAACAAGAGGAGCTGCCAGAGCATGTGTTATGTTGTATTCGATTAAACGGCATTGACTACACGAATTACCAACAACTGGGGCTAACTCATGATCCCCTCTAATATAAAATAACTTGCAATCTTACAATTCATGAGTAATAATGATCACTTCTAGAAGCTTTTCTTTCTCTGTATGTTTTTTTTATTATTAGATAAAATTCACTTGAGTTAAGTGAATTTTATCTAATAATAATAAAAGTAGGTTAAAAAATTTGTTATTAGAATTTTTTGAATTATAGAGACAACATGCGTGTGATTTAAGGATGGCAACTTTGTGAAGATGGCAGGTTCAAATTAAGGAAGGGTCACTAGCACAAGAATAGAAAAACATGGACCTACCTTATAAATTTCGGACAGGTAGGGTCCATATTCTTGCATTTACTCATTCATTAAGCAAAAATTTATTGTGGCAAAGAAAAATAAAGCAACATAAATTTCAAAGTGTGGGTTGCGATGAGAATGTCCTTTTATCAATTTATTTATGGCGGTGATTTCTGATTGTACAACTACCATATGTGAAAAAATGTACTGCCTTACAAGTTGAACGTGTGCATAGTGATTGAAAGCTACTGTTCATGGAATCTCCCCTTCACAACCGGAAATATCTCTGGATTTGGCTTCAATAATATGAATGTTGTCAGACATCTATATGACTGCTAATTCAAAAGTATAAAAATAGTATATTATATACTAAATCTATAAGAAAAAATAAGATATGTGGTTATTGTAGTATACAATATTATTACAGTTTTTTTCATCACAAATTATTATATACTGTAAGCTTATTGACTTTAATAATAACTATAAATTATAATAATTTTTTTTATCTTATAATAAGTGTTGTTATGTTTGAAAAGAAATGTGTCTGTTTGTTTATTTTTTTTTTCTAATTAAAGCATTTTTTTAAATAAAAGAAACTTTTTTTCTTATCTATTTATGAACTTTTTTTAATTTATATAAAATAACTTAAGATAATACCTATTGAGCAACTGATAACACTAATTATGAAGATGGAAGGATTATAATTTATAATTATTTAATTGTGATGTGGCATATGCATTAAACTCAATTTAAAATTTGTAATACTTTTTATTAATTGATTTTATAATTAACAAGTATAGTTTTGTATTTTTTATGTTAAAGTAAAACTTAATTTTAAATATATAAAGTCAATATTTATTATGAAAGATAGTTAAATGAGTAATAAATTCTTAAATAAGGATATTTTCATACTTGTTTGATAAGAGAGATTTGAGCAAGTTTGGGTCAACTTGCAAACTCCGTGCAGCCAATTTGATCACTTTGGATCTGTCTATCAGTTTGATTTAGGGAAGGTCAAACCGTGTTTATATTAGGCAGGGTCTTACAATTTTAAAACCTAATCCTATAAATTTAACTTTTGGTAGATATTAAAGTTGAAAATAGGTTTGGTGAGATTTATTTATTAAATAAATGAGGTCATTTAGAACAAAAACTTGTTTAGTTAAAAATTCAACTTATTTAAAAGTTTTTATGTTAAGTCAGAATTATTCATTAAATAAGTTGGATTATTTTGTTAAAAAAGCTTACTTAGTTAAAAAGAGCCAAAAAAGCTTCATTTAAATAAATGCCATAGTTAACTTTCATGCTTAATATAAAACTTTCGCGAAGACTCCGTAAGTTTAATAGGTTAAGCAATTTAAGTAAATATAATTAAAATGATTATCGTTGACTCGTTGTGGTCGTCGTTTTAATTTTTTTCAATAAAGTTTTGAAATTATTTTCATTAACTTATTTAAAGGGTTAGATTCGTCAGCTTACATAAATGTTTAAGTTTAATAGCCTATTAAAATGTAAGTTGGCTTGCCCATTTAAATGACATTACCATAGAATAGATTTTTAAATAAATTATTAAATCATGTTTTTTCTTATAAATGTTAGGCCATATTTCTTTTTTTGAGACAACATCAAAAGTAAATATGCTAAAATTCATTAAGCTCCTATTTAATTAAAAAAAAATTTAAAAATATTTCTAAATAGATATTTGCTAAAAAAAAATACAAATATACCTTGGCTTAAATTAATTTGAATTTAATTGGCAGTCCCAAAAAATTTCAAACCCAATTCCGTGAAAAATCGTTTTTAACACCCAAACATACATATTTAAGATTTATTTTTACCAATTAGGGTTGCATAGTTATACACTTCTTGCTTTGTAGTATATAGTCCAAGAAAGAGAAAAACATAGTTGCGGTTTCTTAGATATAAATACTACTCTATTTTTAATTAAAAACTTATCCTCTCAATTTTTTATTATAAAAAATATTTTTTTGCCTTTAAATACAAGGAAAGTTCAATTATTTTTGTACTCATTTAATCATACTCTTTCTAAAATATTTATTCTTTAATGAATGAAATTTTAATTGTACTACTTCTTTTAACATTTATATCAAAAATAATTTTAAAAAAATATTATGAAATTAGTAAAATTTAATGTAAATTACTAATTTTTTAATATGCGTAAAATTAATTTTATTTTTCTTATAATAGATAACATGAAATATATCCCTTAAAAAAATTAATCAATTTTTTTAAAAGCATTAAGTTTGTCAATAATTTAAATTATTGTTTTTCAAAATTATCTTTAACATATCTTAAATTACTATCTTTGTTTTTATTTATAAGATCAAACTTTGAATAATTATTTGTACCTAAATACAAGACCTAATTTATATTATTTTATATATTAATCATTTTTAAACTAAAGCACCTCCAATTAAAGTGTGTTCTTTAAGTTTAATAAAATGTATTAATTATAAATTCTTTAAAGAACATACACTTTAATTGATTAGGAAAAGGAAAAAGATGAATATTAAATGAGAGAGAAATAATATAAAATATGTATTCTAAATAGTTAGAAGATATATAAGTATTAATTAAAAATGAGAAGTAATATAAGGATTAAAGACAAATAATTAATGCATCTGATAATTAATAAGAGACAAAATAAAAAGTAAAAAAAATCCAAATAAAAATAATACATAAATTCTGATTCTACGGCAAGCATTACTCTGACCGTACCGTAGCTAATGATGTATGTTTTATCTTTTAGGAAACAACCCCAATCCCAACCCGTTCTTTTCTCTATTCCATGTAATCTAACCATTCAGTGCCGCAACTCATTGGATGGGCTCCAAATTCAATTCCACACACTCTCAGATTTAATGATCTACCATTCCTTATTGCCTGCAAATTGAATCATCCCTAGTGGTGAAATCTAATCTAGCATTGTTCCTTTAATGGTAAAGCAATTTAAGAAAAAGCATTAGAGATGCTCCAATAGAATTAATTGTAGATAGTTTTAGAATTGCTTAGTTGACAGGAAAATAAAAGGGAACAACAATGCCATTTTTCTTTTTAATTTTGATGATTCTAGATTGTCATAAACTAACTAGAAAATTTTGGGATACTTTCAAATTTCAATTATATAGTTTCTAAGCACCTAATGATTTCCATTATTTTTTTCTGTGCGTGAGAAATTATGGGATGCTCAAAATGAATAATACACCGGGATTCTAAAATCTGTTCAATATACCTGATAAGGAAAATCCAACATTTGTCACAAGTTTCTATTTCTAGAGGGATACATGAAGAAAGTTCAGGGACACCAGAGATTCTCTACTTTCCTTAGTGAAATGAAACAAGTGAATGCCACTTTGTGGTTTCCCTTTTACACCCAATAAAATGAAGCAAATATTTCACAATGATATGTAGCCAAAACAATCTGATCTTGAGTAAACAACAACTTCATTCATATCTTACAATTCTTAAAGTTTACAAGGACTAAGAGGCTTCCCGCACAAACCTTTGTTTCCTGAATAAGTGCTCCCAGGAAAGTCAATCAGAGGTTTACCCTCTGGAATTTCCCCTTCAAGTACATTATCTGACAAGTCCAAATCCTTCAGCTTTCTCAACTTCAGAAATCCATTGGGTATGTTACCACTGAAGTGATTGCTTTGCAGCTTCAGTCTCTCCAACAATGTCAACTTTGCCAGCACATCTGGCAAGTTGGAAGCCAATTCATTGAAGCTCAAATCCAAACAGTGAATAAAATTCAGTCTTCCAAGGGAACTTGGCAATGTACCCTTCAGAAAGTTATGAGACAAATTGAGGTACTGAATGTTTAACTGCTCTCCCACACCAACTGCCTCAACTCCACTTGAGAAGTTATTATCAGAAAGATCAATGTATGTTAGTGATCCCCCAGAAGTACCTTGTTCAGTGCCAAATACTCTTGTTATGGAGCCTGTTAACTTATTTGAGTGAAGATCAAGAACACCAAGATCAGGTAAGTTTGTGAGGGAATCAGGTATGTGTGAATCAAGTGAATTCCTTGAGAGGTTTAACATGTAGAGCTGACTGAGGGATCCTATCCATGACGGTATGATTCCACTGAGAAGGTTCCCTGATAAGTCCAGTTCCTGTATTGGACTCTTTGTTGTTTGCAATGAGTCTGGAATTTGACCCTTGATGCCACAGCCTGCAAGGTATATGCGGGAAAGTGATGAAAGGCTTGTTAGCCATGATGGGATGGAAGAGAGGTTCAAAGGGTTGAAAGAAAGATCAAGTGTCTGAAGGTTTTGAAGGGAAGACATCTCTTGAGGCAAGGGCAATTCAATCAAATTATGGGAAATGTTCAACATTATGAGCTGAGAGAGTTGGCCTATTGATTTTGGTATTTGGCCAGACAAGGAGTTGCCACTGAGGTAAAGCTCTGACAAGGAGTGCCAATTGCCCAAACTAGAAGGCAATTCTCCTTCAAGTTGGTTGTTTGATAATGAAACTCTTTGAAGGGAAACCAGGTAGCCAAAACTGGGAGGTATATTTCCACTCAGGTGGTTATTGTGGAGTCTTAAGAAGGCCAGAGAAAGCATATCACCATATCTTGAGGGAAATGGGATGGTTCCCTCAAGATTGTTGGTGTCCATGTACAAAACTGAAATGGAAGTTAAATTGGTTAGTGAAGAAGGTATGCTTCCAGTTAGCATGTTGCTTGAAAGATCAAGCTTCTCCAGAGCTTGCATCTGACCAATGCTGTCCGGTATATGACCCATAATAGCATTGTCATGAACATCCAACTCTACCAAATTGGTCAAATTCCCAAGTGAGAGGGGTATTGTACCTGAAATTTGGTTTGAGTAAAGCAGCAACCTTTTGAGGTTTTTTAAGCTTCCAAGGCTTGAAGGGATTGACCCAGATATCCTATTTTCATGAAGTGCCAGTTCCTGGAGGTTTGGCAAATCACCAATGCTTTCTGGCACTGGCCCAGTTAAATTGTTGCCATAAAGGTAGAGCTTTTGGAGCTTTGGCATTTGCATGCCAATTGTTTGTGGAATGGTTCCACTGAGGCCTACTAAGCCACCAAGATCAAGGGTTTCTAGAGAGGTGAGGAGTGTTATGGAAGGGGAAAGCTGACCAACCATTTGGGTTTGAAACAAATCTTTTTCAATGAGCCCTGAGAGATGTATCTGTGTCACTCTAGTGGTGGCATTGTCACACACAATACCTTCCCATTCACAGCAGCTACTACCAACCCACTTTG